AGGTACACATACATACCCAAAATCATCTGCATAGGGATGATCATTGAATCCATGAGAGTAGAAGCTGGCTGATTATTTGAGCTTGAACATTGTGAGCTGTTTTTTGCTAAGCCTATCATCAGGTGTCCACACTGAGTCCTGCACCAATATGGTGAGACCCTAGGAGCAGGGGCCATGAAGCTGTGTAAGGAGGGGAGATCCACTTCAGGTCAGAAATGGAGCAAGGCAAATCTCTCATGCCAAGCTTTAGCTGGCTTGGCTTGTGAGTGGCTGATGCACTTCTAGCCTGGTAGTAATAGGGAAACCCAATTGCAAAAAAATAAAAAATAAAAACACATACACACAAAAATATAGAGTAGAACAGAAGGGACAGAAAGAATTATAGACAAGTAGAAAAGCTTTGAACGTTACATGTTGAATTTGTTATATATCTAAAAGAAAAGGAAGCTAGCTGTACATAGTAGAGATATACAGTTTTATATATAATCTTCTATGACATTGGATAAATTAAATAATGATAGGCATAAATACACAGACATATAGATATAGATATGGAAATGTCTATTTTATTTATATTTCTTTCATTCAGAGCAAAAAAAAAAACCTGCCAAATTTAGTCAGGAGATTCTGTTTCAAATCTCTGCTGTATGCCTTACCTAGGTAACCTTGGGCAAATCACTTCCCCTTTCTCTAGCTCTGTAAAATGAAGCTGTAGGACTGGAAGACTTCTAGAATCTCTTCTAGCTCCAAATCTATGCTGTGTATTCTTACTTCTATTCTTAGGTGGTCTAGATGAAAAGATAGCAACCTATAGATTGTGAACCCCTGGAAAGCCCAGGAGTTTGTACAAGTGTATCATGAACCCATATTTAGAATCAAATGTTATAATTATGTTTTTTATTTAGTTCAAATAAATCATGCAGAATGATAGTATAAGGAGGAAACATACAGACTACAATTGAAGAAATAATATTACATTTTGGTCACATATGTATTATTGATTTTCAAATGTGTAAATAGATACTCTCACAATTAATAAAACTCAAATTCATTTAAACCCGTTACTGGATTCAGAGTGGCTTTTTGTCATCATTTTTCCTAATCAATAAATATATGACAACTCTATTGGGGGGGATACATTGAAATCTTAAAAATTTTTAAAGGATTCGCATACTTGAAAAGTATGATTCTAAATTTTATAGACTGAAGGTATAATATTGAAATTTAGTTTTAATTATGATGTCAGAATAATAGGGAAGGATATGTTTCTGAAAACTTTTATTTTAACTTGAATTTGTTTAACATCATTATCTCATAACAAGCTAGCAGACGAGTCATTACCTGGTGGTACATATGGTAGTGATGAGAAAGTGCAATTCACATTTTTATACTTAGTGGATGACTGGAGGAGAGAGTGAGGCTGATGGATCTGTGCTGCTCTGCCTCATTTAAACCCAAACCACAAGAAAGTCAAGGCATGATCCCCTTGAAGTCATTGATCCTCTTTGAACCACAGCATTATATTTGCATAAAGAAGTCCTGAACTTTCTCTCAGTAACTTGGAGCCTCCCTGACAACTCTATTTCTCATTCTACTTCCAGTCTAGAGGGCATGTTAAGAAGGTTGCAGTTAGAGAACCTGGTTCCTCATACAATGCCCACCAATGATCTTAATGCAATCCAGGCTGCCTGTTGCCCTCTTTCTCACTCCAGAAAAAAATGGGTGCTAACCAACAGCTCACACAAGAGTGGGAATCAAGAAGCACGAATACCAATTAATTCTCTGATAGCTCCTCTGTAAAAAAAAATGCAACTTATTTCATAATTTGTAACAGCCTCCAAAAGAAAACCACCGTAGGCCTTTCACAGACTCAATTCTTACCATAAAACTCTCATTATGCAGCGTTTGTGGCTTCTTTACCAAATGACGCTGATGGCCACTAGAGGCCCTCAGAGACCAGAATTCTGAATGAATACTTCATTCTGAACTGCTTGGTAGCATCCTTGGCCCAAGGACAAACATGGGAATGATTGATCACCCTGAAAATGTTGTCACCAGTCATGGTCACAATGGAAACATTAACCACTTTACAATGGGTTTACTCTTTGGACTTCATGTATGTATTGTTGTATCTTGACATATGCCATTGAAATTCCACATTAAGCCCTGAGGATAGGTGTTCACTTTCCCACCTTTGTGTGTGTGTGTGTATTTTTTTTTCTTTCCATTTTTGAGGCCTCTTCCAGGTCTAGCAATCTGTGGTTCTATTTCCTGTGGCACTGATAGCTCTTTCTGTCAGGCAGCCAAGGACTGGCAGTGTCTTCAGGAGTGGCCTTGGTGCCAGATACATAGCCCTAACCTGGGAAATCTCATGCTGCATTTTGATTCATTGTGTCAGCTAGGCCAATGAGATTGAGAGCTCTTTGTGAATTCTGTCAATGCAGAGCAAAAGAAAACAGCATAGCCCAGCTCCTTCCTACAATAAAAATAAAATACCAGACAGAGTAGAGATTAGGCAATCCAAGGAGAAACAATAGTGGGTCACTGTTTCTTCCAGTCCAAGACCATGTATTCATCCCGCAGGGAAATCACTAGTGGACTTGTACTACTGACACTCTGACCACAAAGAGCAATCTCAGACGAAACCCAGGTTCAAGGGACCAGGGCACAGACTCTGGACTGGGCTTATGCCTACAGCTCCAAGAGCAACTGGTGGCATTGTAGGTAAGAGTACTACACCTTGAGTCAGGAAGACCAGAGTTCAAATCCAGCCTTAGACATGTACTAGCTGGGTAATCTTGGGCAAATTACTTAATCTTTGTTTGCTTCAGTTCCTCAACTGTAAAATGGGCATAATAACAGCACCTACCTCACAGACAGGTTGTGGAGGACCAAATGAGATAATATTTGTAAAAAGTGCTTAGCACAATATTTGGCACATAGTAAGCACCATGTAAATGTTTATCCTTCTCTTTACCCCTCCCTCTGAACCTGAACAGTCTTCCAGCTAACTGTTAGGGGCTAGGGCCAAGAATTGTCCACTAAAGTGCCAACCAGGGGCAAACCTGCAGTTCTGTACCACCACCACCCCCGAACCACATTAGGGTCCAAAGTCTGCCAAGCCAGACCTAAAAGTCAGTAATCAAACCATGTCCTAGATCAGACTGCTCAAAGCCCTTTGAAAGTTTGCAGCTTCCTGACATGATCTACTTCCGAAATCTTTCAAGAACACAGTACTCAGTTCCAATAGGATGCAGTACCAGGACCTCAAATAATATAGACCAGGAAAGGTCCCAATACTTCCTCCAAAAATACACAGAAGATAGTCTCAACACAAAATCCAAATTTAGCTAGCAATAACAATAAAAGGATGTTATGGAGTCACAATCACAGAATAACTTCAAAACCTCTAGAAAGCCTCAAAGAATCTAGAGGCAAATTGACCATAAGATCAGTCAGAATTCTTGGAAGAAATGAAGCAAGATTTTAAAAAGTTTAAAATTATATTTATTTGCAAAAGACATGGCAAAAAATTCAAAGAGATAAGAAAAAAAAACATTGGCTACCTGAAAGCTATTATTTTTAAAAAAGAGCAGCTTATACTTTTTCGAGGAATCATAAATAAACCCTCCCTGGACCAATTAGAATCAGAGGATAAAATGAAAATAGAAAGAATGTACCAGCCACTTTCTACAAACAGCCAAAAAGAAAAAAAGAATTCATGTCTGGACTACACAAGATTTGGAATTTACATAATTTTTTCCCCATACACAAAACAAATGCAGCTACTTCAAGGGAAAAAGTTGACTTAGAAAAAAATGTCTTTGCAGCAAGTTTCCCTCATAACAGACTAATTCCAAAGATATATTGGGAACTGATTCAAATGTATAATCATGAGAGCCATTCCCTAACTGAGAAATTATCAAAGCATATTAATAGGTAATTTTCAAAGGCAGAAACCCAAACTATCAATAGTCATATAAAAATAATGCTCCAAAGCACTAATAGTTAGAGAAATGGAAATTAAAATAACTCTGAGGTTCTATTTCTCACCCATAAGATAGAAAAAGATGATCAAAAAGGAAAAATGGCAAATGTTGGAGGAACTATGGGAAAACATGTATATTAATGCACTGTTGGAAGAGATGTGAATGGGTCCAGACATTTTGGAAAGAGATTTAGAACTATGTCCCCAAAGTCATTAAACTAGGTATACCATTTAATCCAATAAAAGCACTAGTAGGCCTATCCTAAAGATATCAATGAAAGAAGAAGCACACCTATATGTATAGCAGCTCTTTTCGTAATGGCAAAAGACTTGATTCAAAGGGAGTGCCCATGAAGTAGGTAATGGCTGAACAAATTATGGTATATGAATATAATGGAATACTATTGTACTACATTATATGCGATGAAATGAACAATTTCAGGGAAACTTAGGAAGATCTGTATGGACTGATGCAGAGTGAATTATGCAGAACCAGGAGAATAATTTTTACAACATAGCTGGCTTGTGATTAGTGAGAATACTGAATTTCAGAAAGTGGTTACATGAATTTGCATTCGCACTATTCAGAGTTCTAATTACTTAAAATGTAGTAATTGGCTCCAGCCCAATGGAAATGAGCAATATAAATTCAAACAATTCTACCACCTCGTGGGAAGTAACTGCATTTGTTTTGTGTATGGGGAAAAAATTATGTAAATTCCAAATCTTGTGTAGTCCAGACATGAATTCTTTTTTTCTTTTTGGCTGTTTGTAGAAAGTGGCTGGTACATTCTTTCTATTTTCATTTTATCCTCTGATTCTAATTGGTCTAGGGAGGGTTTATTTATGATTCCTCGAAAAAGTATTTACACTAAATACTATTTGCACTAAATGGGAATTAGTTGCAACAACAACATTGTAAAGTCTAACAACTTTCAGAGATTTAAGAACTCTGATCAATGCGATGACCAAGCGCAGTTCCTTAGTATAAATGATGAAGCATGCCACTTACCTCTTGACAGGGAAGTGATGAACTCAGATGCAGAAAAAAGGCCTATGGCTTTTTTTAACATGGTCAGCATGGGAATTTCTGTTGTCCAACAATCCATATTTGTTACGAGAGTTTCCTTCTTTTTTGATAAGGGGAAGAAAAAAAAGGAAAAAATTAACGTTTGTTAACTGGGGGGAGAAAGTAAAATAAAAAAATCTGCAGAGTCTATCACTATCTTCCCACAGAGATGGTAATAGGATACCGATTTCATGATAGACCAGATGGACTATCCACTGGAGAAGTGTAGTATAATGGTTTAATGATTCCCAAGGGCAAGTCCAAGCTCTGAGATAATCTTCTTCCTAAAGGTCTCATGTTAATGAATTTCCCTGGTCTTTACCCCTAATCAATCAATTTAGTCAACAAACAGTTATTATCTATTGTGTGCCAGGTTCTAGAAATATAAAGACCAAATGAAATAGTCTGAACACTTAAGGGTTTTGCAATGTATCAGGACTGACAACATGGGGATGTTATATTTATACACACATAATACATATACATACATGCATATCTCTATATATGCAATACTCATTATATATACTATATACATATTATATATACTATATTTGACATATATTACATATACTATACATACAATATATACATATATTTCCTTGTATTTATTTTATATCTATTTTATGTGTATATTATACACACATATGTATGTATGTATCTACAGTTATCCTTTCCACACTGTAGGGGTTAAGGATGTGGTGCCTATACTATCTGGAAAATCAGAATAAAACTTTTTGGCCCTCCCTTTGTACCAGAGAAGAAGTCTGAATTTTTTCTTTTTCTTTTAAAGAGCATTTATAGTACCTTATTATAAAATTTGGGTTGATATTATGCAGCACTATACATATATTTTATGCATTTCCGAGTTTCTAAACTTTTTCTGTATCATCTGCTGGCCTTTACATATTGTCTGCGGCATCTGTAAAACTTCCAAAAAATCCGCATTTAATTTCTTCTGCTGATCTGCGCTATATCAAAACTATGATGAAGAAAGTCACAATGTGGAAGGGATAACTGTATGTGTGTGTGTGTGTGTGTGTGTGTGTGTAAAATACAAATACATATACACATACACATTATTTATATCCAAATGTGTCTTTTTTCAAGGGAAAACTCAGTTTTGAATAAGGGGAGGTTGTCCAGAAAGCTCCCACTCAAATCCAATCATATGATTAAATTTGAGGACCGCTTTCTTTTTAGTTTTCGCTACGCAATGGGGTTAAGTGACTTACCCAGGGTCACACAGTTAGTAAGTGTTATGTGTCTGAGGCCAGATTTAAACTCAGGTCCTCCTGAATCCAGGGCCAGTGCTCTATCCACTGCACCACCAGCTGCCCTTGACGTCCACTTTCTTAAGACTTATTGTTCTGTCTGGGAGAAATATAGATTTTTCTACATCAGATATCAAACACAAGGTGTTCTGACAGCCCTATGTGTCAGCAATACTCCCAGTATAGAAGAATCAGATTAAGATATAATTGGGAAATATTTAACAAAATAAATAGAAATAAAATATAACACACATTGTGTTAATTTATGGTTTTCTAAGTCAGTATGCTGCCAGCAGCCCCCATTTCTATTTGAGTTGGACACTACTGTCCTACATCACCACTTGAATAGCTAAAAGGCAACTAGGTTTTAGTTGTAATTTTTAAATGCTCTTTGATTACTAAACAGGCAAGCTCCTCAAAGTACTCTTAGAAACTAAAACTTATGCAAACTTTTTAATTTTCTAGAAGACACGAACACCGTCACAGAACATATGCATATTATAGTATATGAGTATAACTGAATATTATTTTACTGTAAGAAATTGTTAAATTGGTGGCATCAAAGGAAACTGGAAAGACCTATATGTGCTTAAGTACAGTAAAATGAGTAGAGGTAGGAGAACACCACCTATGGTGACAACAAATTATAAAGAAAAAATTTTTTGCAAAGAATTTAAAACTCTGATCAATGCAAGGACCATGCTATCAAACATGATGCCAGAAGACTGAAGATAAAGCATGCTACCCACCTCCTGCCAGAGAAGTGGTGGGCTTAAAATGTAGAATGATAAATACATTTTTCTATATGGCCACTGTGGGTACTTGCTTGGTTGAACTGTGCATATTTAGTATGAAGATTTTATTTATACTTTTACTATTGTTCAGTTGAGCAGTAGGAAAGTGGGAGGGAATAAAAACAACACCAACAACTATGAATTGTAGCTAAGTAGTACAATGGTTAAAGTCCTGGACCTAGAGTCAGAAAGACCTGAGTTCAAGTTTCACTTGACTCTTACTAGCTATGTGATCCTGGCCTAGTCACTTAATCTCTGTTTGCCTCAGTTTCCTCATCTCTAAAATAGAGATAATAATAGAACCTACTTTCCAAGCTGGTTTGAGGATAAGATGAGATAATATTTGTAAAGCATTTTGCAAACCTTAAAGTAAATGCTAGTTATTATTAATAATAAATAAACTGATAAACAAATCACAAAAACCCAGCACAGGAAAAGAGGAGGCTGGAATGTAGGCCAAACACTTTCATTCAGGGACATTCCATTATTTAGAATTTACATGAACTGATCTCCCACATTAGTACACACATTAGCAATTATCTCAGGAAGCAATAATATTGCAGATAATTGCATTCTTACCATTAATCATGAATGTTGACACTGTGGCTAAAGTCGGGGTGTGTATATACACAAATAAAATATATTAAAATTAATAACTATGTAAATGTATATTGTTTATTGACTCCCAATCTCCATTTCTTTGAGATTGGTTCAGCAACTCCTTACTCTTGACTTATAGAGCAGGATATATGAACTTTAACTTAGATTATTATCCCAAGCTATTGATGGCCTGGCCTCTCACAGAGGGCTTTTGACTGCAACTTTATGATAATTTTGTTTCACAGTAATAAAATTCACAGATGAGGATAGTCCACTGATAGCCGCATTTAAATAAGGAATTCTTAATTCATATCATCATAGTTTATTATCTTCTAATAGCCACTGTCAAGGTGATTTCATTGATCCCAGGGACAATAATTTAAAGAAAAATGTTTTCAAATTTTATTGATCTTTTTTATTTTTATGTAACAATCATCTATGTATGTGCCCTCTCTGCCCACTTTGCCCATCACTCAGTAAGCAACAAATAAAAACAGTGAATCAAAACAAACAAAAACCATGATGACCAACAGTGTTTGATGCTGTATGCAAAACTTCACATCAAAGTCCTCCACTTTTCAAAAAAGTAAATAAAGGGATGTGTATCCCATCACAGACCAATCAGAAAGCATTTATTAAAAGCTTACTATGTGCTCAGCACTGTGCTAAGAGCCACAGATAAAAAGAAAAACTCACATACAACTTACTGCAAGAAAACTTTCCTGATTCACAGAATCACAGAATTCAGGAGTTGGAAGGGAACTCAAAGATGAGTTCCAAGAAAAGATGACAGGGAATGACACTTGACTTTTTCCCCTTAAAGATGTTTAAAGCCATTTTTCTTGTTAATGCATAGTTTCATCATACATACACACACACACACACACACACACACACACACACATCTTTTGAGCTTCACAATCACCGAGGGACCTATCAGATTGGCTAATGTGACAAAAAAAGAAAATGATAAATTTTAGAGGGGATGTGGAAAGACTGAGACACTAATGCACTGTTGGTGGAGTTGTGAACTGATCCAGCCATTCTGGAGAGGAATTTGGAATTATACTCAAAGGGCTATAAAGTTGTGCATACCCTTTGATCCAGCAATACCACTGCTATGTCTGTATCCCAAAGAAATAAAAAAGGTGGGAAAAGGGCCTATTTGTACAAAAATATTTGTAGCAGTTCTTTTTGTGGTGGCTAAGAATTGGAAATCAAGGGGATGCCCATCAACTGGGGGATGGCTGAACAAGCTGTGGTATGTGATTGTATTGGAATATTATTGTGCTATAAGAAATGACAAGCAGGATGATTTCAGAAAAAAAAACCTAGAAAGACTTACATGAACTGATGTATAGTGAAGTGAACCAAGAGAATGTTGTTCACAGTAACAGCAATATTATTTGATGAAAAACTGTGAATGACTTAACTAGTCTTAGCACATATATATATGTATATAGTATATACATATACACACACATATATACACACATATGAGTGTATACACATACATACGTATGTGTGTGTATATATGTATGTATGTAGTACTTATTTATGTACATGTTGTTTCCTTTAAGTGGAATGTAAACTCCTTGAGAAAAGAGACTTTCATTTTTGTCTTTGAATCTCTAGGTATAAATCCTGGCTCAGATGCCTGCTAGCTGACTGGAAACCTCCTTCCAAGCTGACTATTCTTTGGGTATGGCCATTCAACCATTTAGGAATCCATATAATTGTTATCATTTCTCAATAGTGTTCATAAGAACGGTGCAGCAGGAAGAAGCCACTGAGAGTGGTATTGCACAACCATATTTTGGAACAAGGATCTGCCATACATACTATCTAGAGGATTGATTCTCTGAGATAAGTGCCATGCTCTCTTCAACTCTTAGAGGGCTGGCTGTCTATCCTTTTAGCTCTACTCTTGGATGGAACTGTTCATTAGAGGCAGCTTGGTAATGCTGCAGGTAGAGTTCTGAAGTTGGAGTGTGGAAGACTTCAGTCCAAAACTTGCCTATGACACTTACTAAATGTGTGGCCCTGGGCAAGTCACTTAATATCTCTGTACCTCAGTTTTTCATCTATAAAATGAAGAGGTTAAGCTCAAGTCCCTTGAAGGTCTAAATATATGATTCTGTGGCTTCATTGATCTGGAGTTGGTATATGTAAATTATCCCACAAAATTTCATAGTTCATTATTGCTCCATTCTGTTCCAAGAAAACACTAATTATTTAAGCATCCATTTATAATTAAAACAAACATTTAATCCACAGCCAGAGAAAGAAATATGGAGTCTGAATGCAGATGGAAGCATGCTATTTGCTCTCCTTTTCCTTTGTTGTTTTGTTTTATTGCTTCATTTTAGTTGTTCCTCCCATTAGAGCTAATTGTTCTTCACATCATGATTAATGGGAAAATATGCTTAACGTGAATGTATATGTAGAGCCTATGTCAGATTGTATGCTGTCTCAGGGCGGGGGAGAAAATTTAAAACTCAAAATCTTATGGAAGTGAGTGTTGGAAACTAAAAATAAATAAAATTTTAAAAACCCAAATGTTTAATCAAAATACTAAAAGTATGGTAAAAAAAAAAACCAGAAGAATTAACTTTCAGTCACCCAACTGCAAGTTTTAATCTCTAAAATCTCAAACTACTTCATTCCATACCAGTTCTTCCGAGGAATGGTGGTAGCCAGAACTTGGAAGACCGATTTGCCTCTACTGTAGAATTTGAAACATCAGCCAAATTTGAGAATCACTTCGTCTTATCTCAGGGGCTCTCAATACCTTGGTGCTCTGAGACACTCCTCCCACTTTTTCCGATGCCTCAGCTGCTTATAGTTGACATCATCCTTGCTTAGATGAGACCTGCTCATATGGCCAGGATCCCAGACTCTCACAACTTCGGTCTCAAATCAAGTCAACAAGCATTTATTATGTGCCAGACACCATACTAAGCAATGGGAACAAAATTACAAGTAAGGAGCTTACATCGTAATCAAGAGAGAAAGCATAAAATGAAACACAAAAGAGTGGGAGGATAGCAGGTGGTGGGAGGTAGATGAAAGTACCTGGCAGAGGGGAATTGTGATCTGAGCAAAGAATCAGGAGTTCAGCCTGGAGAGGAACAAAGTCTCCCTTAAAACGCCCATGGAGTTTACGTAAGTCTCCAGACACCAGCCAGACACAAATCTAGCGTCCACAGTGGCAGAAGGAACTGCCACGGTTTGGTTGCCCCTGTATCCCTCCTCTTTCACTTTCCCCATCTCCCCTGCTATGCTCTGACTTCACACATGTAGGCGTGTGCTGTGTAAGCCTCGCTGCCCCCCAGGTGAGGGAGTACACTGTGCAGTGTGGTTCTGAGTCACAGCCGCCTTGTTATAATAACAAGAAAACGCATCAGATGTGTGCTAAAGTCTAGGGACACTACATCTAAAGGATTCCCCTGATCTTTCAGTTCATTGGCTATGTCAAAAAACAAAAGGAGCCATATTAATCAAACTACCAAAAATGATTTTATGAGCTAGAAAAAATAATAACAAAATTCATCTGGAAGAACAAAAGGTCCAGAATATCAAGGGAACTAATGAAAAGAAAT